AAGTTTGGGGACCATCTCATGCAATCTCTCCCCCCCATGAACCCAGTACCTATACAGCACCATGATCTGTTCAATCTGAGTACCTGATGTTATGTGTTTTTCTGATGGATGGATTTGGTTAGCTTTATTCCCTCTCAGCTTTACGGTGGATATTTTATTGGCCAGAATCCTAATGCGTTACACAGACCAGTGTTAAGTGCAGTGACATAAATTGCAACAGGGAGTCATTGCCGGTACTTCTCATCACGTGCCAAGTCGCTCAACGGGCATGAGATGTCTTCCTATGCGAGGAGCAACTATTTAACCTCTAGCAGTTCATCCCTGTTACTTATACCCTTGGGCTTATGTCAGTGTATATTAGCAACAGGATTCTGGCCATTGTATCTTCTGGCTCCATTGGTGGGTCATTTTATCCCTTTGCAACACTTTTGGATCTCCTCCTGTAGAAAGGTAGGGCGGTCAACAGCAGTTTGTCTTAACTTTTGACTCTCCAGATGTTTTGGAAGGTCAACTCCTAGGAGTATCAACCAGCATGGCTAGTGGGCAGGGATTCTGGCAGCGGATGCCCAAAACATCTGATGAGCAGCCAAAGGGTGAGACCTACTGGTCCAGAATACATACCTGTAGCCAGACAGGAAAATTTAATCTGTTTTCTTTGCTCCATAAGACACACAGACTTTCCACCCCCCTGTTTTGTGGGGAAAAGGTGCGTCTTATGGTGCGAAAAATACGGTAATTTGTATCTTGTGAATCCAGCCATAAGCTCCCACTGTCGTTGGGATTCTTGTCCCCAACTACCAGCTCTTTTTCTCTCTCTTTTTCCTTGATATGCATGAGAAACTCTAGGGCTAGTATTTCTTGAGAAGGTCCTGGCCCAGCAGCTCTGTGTTCGCATAGAAAGAAGGTTGAGTCAAAGGCTTGGAGTCTAGTACCCCTCCTTGTCTTCTAGGCATGTCGCTCACACTTTTGGGTACTTGGGGGGGGGCTTATTGGGTGGGCTCCTTGTTTAAGACCTCAGGTTGTTTCCCCAAGTGGGAACCATGGAGATTTTATTGCATCCCATTTAGCTCAAGAATGACTGGTGAGTAGCCTTTAAATTGGCCTGTTGAGTAGCTTTTTCCTAATGATCTCATTGATGGTTTCTGTTTGCAGGGGTGGTGCTGGGGACGGGTGGATCCTTTAAATACAAATTCCAATTGTTGGGCTAAATCTCATGGTTGGTAAGTCAGCCACAGTCCATAAATCCACACTTAAATGGATTCAGTGGCCCTGCTCTGGTTGGCAGTACCAATTGTTTTTAGCCTTCTTTTTCATTTTTTTAAAAAATAGCAAAATAGTGCAATTTATAACAGGAGCTGGGCATGAAGGAAGATCCGTAGGACAGTGGTGGGTGCTATCCTTGGTTCCATCCTGGCATCATGATGATTCTCACAGCATCTGAAGTTGCGTTCCGGCTTGCTGCCCACTCTGTTTCGTTCTGTGTGTTTTCGGCACAGGAGGAAAATTAATTTGAGCTTGCTGCGAAGACCTATTGAAATAACAGTGCTTCTAATCCCTGCCTCCCCTATTCCACTTCTAAAATATAAATCTGATTTATTATTATTTTTCCCTCCTGAGCTTCTCAAAATGGATTATGCGAGAGACCAGTATCATTTCCATGAGTCCATGTTCAGTTGTGTCTTGAATGTTCTGTGTGCTAGGCTAAGGAATCTGCAAAAACATTTTGTTCCTCCAGATACAACTGAACAGACAGGTACGGGTAAATGGACTCGTGTGTGTGTGTGTGTGTGGTTTTTTTTTGGGGGGGGTACATTTAGGAAAGCAGTACATTTGAAAGTTTAATTAGGGCTGAATGCCTCCTGAAGGTTGAATTACAGGCTTTATTCAAATGTTACAAAAACATCTCGTGATGCATCTATGAATAAATGAACAACCTCACCTTTCTCAGTAAGGAGGTGGTTGATGGCAAAGCACCCCCCCCCGTCAAAACTGTTACAGGCACTGCTAAAAAAAACTGGCAACATCTTCCTAACTTAGGTTGGACGTTGAGGAAGAATCTCACCATCTCCTCCAGGTTTCTCTCGTTTGTCTGCTTTTATTTATTTTTCCGTGAGGGCTGCCACATCTCCGAGATGCCTATCCTGATAGCAGGTGGAATGGGTAAATATTTAGCCTGCCTTTAGCTTCTTTTTTTCTCTCTCTGCCTATCTACGAATTGAGGAGCAGAACTGGAAGCTGAGGCTCGCAGTTCCGAGGGAGAGAGAAGGGTACCAGCGTAGCAGTTTTTCCATGCCAGGTGAAGGATGATAGGAAAAATGCAACATGACAGAAGTGTTGTTTGGGACCCGGCCAGAATGGCTAAGCGCCTTCGAGAGTTCGAGCGCTTTGCTGGAATCAGTTCATTTCTAGGGTAGATGATTACTCGGCTTTCTGAATGCCAAAACAATGACCTGGATTTCTTGCACTGTGCTCGCCGGAGGTGGGGTGAGGTGTGTGTGTGTGTGTGGGGTGTAGGGGGCTGAGAGGCCTGCCCCCAGGCCGCCGGGGGGGCTGGTTGCTGGAGGAATTTGCAGGGCAAACCGGCGTGATCGGTATCCCTTAGGCAAAAGGGCAGATCAGATGTAGCCATTCCTCTGTCCACCCCAATCAACTGCTGATGGACAAGATCCAAAATAAATGGCCACTGTCCCATAAAGAGCCCATCCTTTTCAAGAAATCTTGTCTTTCAGAGATGGCCTGAACAGGGATCTGGAGTTCCCTCCGATTCCATTTCATTGCACGTCTCTGAAGTCCACGTGCCTTTTCAGAGCGTTGCAGAGTTGGAAGGGACCCCAAGGTACCATTGGCAGAGCTTAGAATTTTGTTTAAATTCCTCTCACTGTGCAGGGATTCACTGAGCAGAATAGCTTCGAGTTCCCTAGAGCAGTCCTTTTTCTCATTCACTGGCACTTACCGTCTCGATAACTCACTCTGAGACATTCAGAGGAGAAAGAATAAAAGGTTTCATTACTTACAATTGAACAGATCAGACAGCAAACTGATAAACGTGACTGTTTTCGGCAAACGGACCTCAATAGACTCACTGCTTCCAACCAATTAGAGAGAGAGAGAAACAATCATGAGCCAAGAGGCATGGCTCTGAATTCAGAGGCAGGGAAGGAATGATTGATTAGTGCTGGACAGTCCCTCCCAACCCACCCTACTAAAGTCAGCCTGCCAGGTTGCAAGAACTCCAACAGGTACTGTCCCTTGAGAATGAAGGAAATCCATAGCTATAGTATCTCTCATAGCTCTTCGTTGTGTTAGTCAAAATCTCTTTCCTTGTAGACAATCCTGTTTTGGGGGTGGGGTGGATTGTTTCTTCTAGTGTAACAAGGGACAGATTTGACCCACCGGCTCCTTGCATGGAAATCCATGGAAAATATTAGAAAGTAGCCATTCTTATCACCCTTCCGCTTGACGGACAGTGGATGGCTCTCTTTGGCTTCGTTGGGTGAGCAATGCAGCACCTCTCTGAATCCAGTTCCCAGGCTGATGGCTTTTGCTGTCGTCTGAATGAACTGCCATGTCTCTCTGGGAGACAAATCTCAAGATGAATGGCTTTGGAGGAAGAGAAAGTTTGTTTTTTTTGGGTGTCAGTTGGATTCAAACCCCACGGCCACCCATTCTCCAGGGCTAAGTGGATCATGAAAGGAGGTGGTGTTCCTGTTCTTCCAAACCGAATAATGGACCTGGGCTCATGCCCCTTCCTAGGTTTCTGGTATGCCAAGACTGAGCCCATTTGGGACCAGTCAGGAAGCGGAGCACCAGCATCGCAACTCCTGAGTCTTCTTGTTGCATAAGACTTGGTTACCAGCAGTACTAAACCTGAGTGGGGGCAACGCCCTTCAACACTTGCTTGCCCCGCTTTCCCTAACCTGTAAAAGCTCCACCTTGAGGACATACACAGAGATCTGTTCCTTGTGTTTGGCCATGACAGTCCCAAGGAAGGGAACGTTCTTCTCCTGGTGACTCTGCCTGCATGCCTTCTTCTTCCGTAGTATGTTGTTCTTCCTTGACAAGAGTGACAAAATCTCTCTCATATTACTTAACAGTATTATGGCTTCTTCTGCTAATTAAAACGAAAGGGGAAAAGCTTACCGTTAGCACTGCAGTGTAGCTATCTTATCTTGTAAAAGCTAATTATGTGGCACGCCTGATTGCTTCCTACAGTCGTTTTTTGTTCGCTAAGAAGCCTTGCCAAGAGTCACACAAATCTGAGTCAAGTCTTGCCCTTGTTAAAAGAAAAATGTTCTAAATTTGTGAGATGTCCCGCTGGAGTAGAGATGTCTTTGGAAATGCGCGCGAACCCAAGTTGCCGTACAACGCTTACACCAATGCTCGTATGCTTCACATCAGGTGGAGTATGATTCCCATCATCCCCAGCCTGCAAATGTATTTAGTCTTGAGAATCCAGGTGGCATTTCTCAGAAATGGCTTCCTTATGGATTTTCTTCCAAGATTTCTGGCATTGCTTATTTATAGTCATTTTATGTTTGTATATAGCATATCCAGGTTCTGAACTATATATATTTACTACTATATTCCCAGACACATAACATTTAAAAGCATAACATCATCATCATTATCATCATCATATGCCATCAAGTTAGTTCTGACTCATGGGAACCCTTTTTTCAAGATTTTCCAGGTACTCAGAAGCGGTTCACCATTCCTTTCCTCTAGGGGGCGCCCTGGGACGGTGCCGCTGGCCCAAGGCTCCCCAGGCTGGTTCTTCTCCCAGGAGGCCCACAATGGGAGGAATCGAACTCCCAGCCTCTGGCTCTGCAACCAGATACTCAAACCACGGAGCTATCCAACCAGCTATGAAAAGCATAAATCCTCTTGTTGCGGTGTCTTTTTGAGTATCCTGAAACGAATACACAATATTCAGGTTATGAAAAAGTAAATAAAAATAAAACTGACCTTTGAACTCCCTTCTCTCTGTCTGTCTGCCATAGTTTGGAGATGAGCTGCGGAAGTTACGAGCTGCCGTCCCGCAGAATAGCTTTGGTTGGCTCCATTTTCTAGACGACAGAACCCAGGCTTTTCCATCTAATGTCACCTTACTAAATGAAGAGAATCATTGGTGCAGCTTTTTGGTAAGTCATCAGATTTAAATGTTATATTTTTCCCCCCTCCAGATCTCCTCGGCTTGCTTAGAGGCAAATGCAGTTTTGCAGTAAAGGGGTAAATCGTCAGCAGTCTTTGATGGGTTCTGCTTATTCTTTTCCTCTCCCCGCCAGACATGCGTATTCTTTATATATATATTAACGTTTCCACCAGAGGGCATGTAAAAGGGGGATGTTTAAAAGCTGCAAAGCTGTTTTATTGTGTGAAAGGGCACTAAATACGCTGCATGGCTTATCTGGAACTCATCCCAGATTTCCGAGGAGGCTTCCCTTATCACCTCCAATTCAAAATATGACATCTGAATTTGAGATGTGATCAAATCTTTGTCAACCAAGATGGAGTGTTCCAGCAAACTCTTCCATCTGTCACTTGAAGAATGCTGCATGAAGTCTGAAGGGGGTTCAGACTTTAACTATTTCCTCGCACGGAATACGTTGTGGGTTATTTTCTCAGTCCTGAAGAAGCCAATGGAAACTTTGCAGCAAGATAAAAGCAGAGGTTTGGATTAAATCCTAGTGCAAGGATTTAATGCGCGCTAACCTGTTTCCCAGTGTGGTGGAGTGGATAGAGTGATGGGCTGGGACTCTGGAGAACAGGGTTCAAATCCCCGCTCAGCCATGGAAACTCATTGGGGGTGTGGAACTGGCAAAGCCAGTCATTAAATACCTCGCTTACCCTATTAGGGTCATTGTCGGTTCTGACGTGAGCATACACACAACCTGGCTTTATTGAACCTGCAAGCAATCTCAGTGTTTCTCCTCCCCCTCTGCTGTCCCTTCGAGGGGTCCCATGTAATGATCTCCAGGTTATCTCATTTCTGCCTCTTGCCTTCAGAGTTCCAATACAGAATTATGGGATGGCCTTTGTTGTTGTTCTTGTTGTTGTACATGACGAGTGAAGACAAAAAAAAAAGGCACTCTAAGGGCAACCTGTAATAGGTTTGTTGGGATACATTTTTGGCCGTCTCTTTAAAAAAAGCCCTGCACGGTAGGGACAAGTTTCCCATCTGTTCAGTTCAGAATGCTAGGGAAAGTCAGAAGTTTAGAGAGGTTGCTGGTTGTGGCATGCAGAGGCTGGAATCCTGTTGCACCACTCAGTGCGCAGAATGGTGATGATGTCGTTGGCAGCAGCCAACTACCAGGGATGGAACGCAACTCCAGGGGCGTCGTGACTTCACTGCATCAGATAAGAATTGTGCATACCTGAAACTATGTTTCATCAGCAGTGGTTAGTCCCTAGTGAGGAAGCCATCCCTGTTGTACACACGGAGCCACGCAACCCGATTTCAGTCCCGATTGTGGTCTAAAGCAGCAACAATGTACAAACTACGAAAGTGCTTATGTTGTAGATTGTAGTCTACATTCTAAGTCCCGAGTACTGTGTTTCTGCAAGGAATGTTGGCAAATCTTTGGATCTGACCCAGGTCTTAAGTCTTCGGTGCTAAGTCCTGATTCCAAGTCCCCGTTAATAACAAGCCTTTTTCTCCAGAAAAAAAAGGGAGGGGTGGGTGGGGTCCGAGTCATGGAAAGAAGATGTGATTTTTTCTAAGCCTTTCTCTCGGGGAGTCCCATGACTTGAATTCCCCATCCCATGTTTTAGCAAAGAATTTAATGCCCCCTCTTGGTGAAGGTTAAGGTGACTTTGCTTGTTTTGAAGGGAAGAGGAGCATCAGGTGCCTGGGCGCGTTGAGTGAGACAGATGAGGCTGGAGGAGAGAAATCAGCACCACGCTCCCTCCTGTATCGAGACGAAGATGTGATTTTTTCTAAGCCTTTCTCTCCTACCTCTGTATTCCAAGGGTTTGGCATTTCAGTGAGGCCAACTTCATGGATGTAAGAACGGTGGTGAAATACAGTATAGATCTAATCACATCAATAAGATGAGCTGAAAACCCTGTTGGGCGTTTAAAGAAGAGATGTATAAAAGCATCTTAGCAAGAAATGCAAGGAAGTGAAAGCCAAGCAGGAGTTTCCCTGGAAGGAATTTTTTTTTGTTAGTCTGCTTCCAGAAAAAGAAATATATACATATATATCTTTCTAAATTCAGCTGATCTGCCTAACCTCCAAAGGCGGTTCGGTTTTCGAAGGAGAGGTCCTGAAAATAGCCTTTCTATTCCGGCAGGCTTTTTAAAACAATGAATTGGCCATTGAAGAAAGGCTTTTCAACTGATCGGCGCCTAGCTTTTTAAAATAGGCTTTCTGAACTTGTGCCTTAATTTTTGGCCCGGTTTGAAGGCCCTGTTTGGAGACGATCAAACGGAATCGCACGTTTCCGCCTGTACCTGTTTTACTCGTGTTGTAAACTGTCTTGAGCACCAGTTCTGGAAGAAGAACGGGATTTTAAATGAGCAAAAAAACGCAAACACCCAATTCCCAGTTCTCCTTTGTAGCCCACAAGCTGTATGCTGAGCAGTCATCTTTTCTCTTGCTTGCGCTGCTCCAAGTAAAGAAGGAAGCTGAACGGATGCATATTAAACAAGCTAACAAGCCAGCCTTGAAATCAAATTCAGCAGTTTCCCGAACTCCAGATGCAGCCCTGGATTCTGTTCAATATGAATAGCTCGGCTCTTTTCTATCAACTTCTGCTCCCACCTCCCCCCCCACCCTTCCCTTTGCTGCTATTTCTGCTTCTGCTATTTCCTTTTGATAGAACCTTGGCAAATAACGCTCTTAGCTTGATGTACGAGGAGAGGAACACAATTAAGTTGAAGGGGAATTATCGTGCAGCCGCGAACCCTCAGTAGAACGAGTTGACTTTGCTGAAATTTTGCATGGTCAATTTTTCCTGCAATGTGAAATACAGTCCGACGCCAGGGGAATGAGGGTTGCCGTGTGCAACAGTAATGCTTAAAGAAGCCTGGAACGTGCTGGAGATAATAGAGTCCTGGGAACTCACCGCTAGGCTTGTTTCCATAGGGCTGTTAACGTTATCAGAAGTCTAGTGGCCGGTTATTGCTGTAGGGGAAAGGGGGTATTTTGCTTCTTCCGGAGAATAAACAGAGGAAAGTGATTCAGGACGTGACGAAGAAGGGTTCAATGCTCTATCCGTCTTAAATAAAATCTGAGCTGCTTTGAAGAACTTCTGCTGTGGGGCTGATTTCTTGTAAAATACTGCTGTTGCATTTTGCAATTTCATCTTGTGCAGTGATTCCCATCTGCTGGGTCCCTAGGAGTTCTTGGATGACCACTGCCAGAGTTACTGACCAACATAGCTAGGGCCGAAGTCTTCTGGGAGTTTTAGCCCAAGAACTTACTGAACAACATAGCTAGGGCCGAAGTCTTCTGGAGTTTTAGCCCAAGAACATCTGGGGACTTAAGGGTGGAAACCACTGGAAAGCGCATGGTGTTTTCCTGAAGCAGAAGGCTGACTTAGGAAATCAGAACGTGTAAGTAAGGGCTGAGATCTTCTTTCTCGTGTGAAGAAGTTAGGGCTGGATCATTTTGTGGGCCAAGGTGAAGAGCAAGGTGGCACCTTTTCCTCACCACCACCACCATGTGCAGAATACAAATGTAAATCTCCCCTCATCTGGTCTCGTAACCGAGGATGAGAAACTGCGGCCTGCCCCTCCTTGCCAATAAGAACAGCAAGGTGTTGTCACATTCTTAAAACTCTTGCATTCTCTGGGGTGAGAACCATGTTTTTCACATTTGTGCACATTGCTTCCAACTAGGACAGCTGTCACTTTGTTTAGTGGGCTTTTAAGAATCTGAAGCAGTAGATGGGTTGTTTGCATCTTTCTTAACAAACAGCTGGTCCTATCCTTACTATGTGTGAGTATGCTCTGTTTCTCAAGGGGATAGGACCCCTGGTGTTTTGTGTTTTTGTTGTTGTTGTTTTGAAATTAATGTTGTTAAAATACAGGGACCTTAATGGCTCTACCCACCCTAGAGACACAGAACTCCCATTTTCTGTCCCTGCAGCCAAATATGTAAACCACTGAGCTATCCAGCCAGCTAGAATTAGACAGCGTTAGAGAGTTGACATAATTTCCAGTTTTGCACAGTGGAAGCAGAATCAAGAGAGAGTTTTCTCAGGTTTCTTGTGCAGAACAACCTTCCTTCTTATTGCTACTGTACTATATGTCGATACTCTTTTCTTTCAAATGCCGGGAAGAGGGTCTGTAATTCCAGAGTTAGGTAAGACAGGTACGTTGTCCCAAGAGAGGATTCTGTTTCAGTGTTGTCTGGCTGGTTGTACATATACAGATCAACATCTTACAGACTGCCAATCCATACCTTATTGCAGGATCCCCAAAGGAACTTGTACGGGTAAAACAGAATCGAAAATGAAGTCTGTGCCTATTTACTTTTTAAGTGGGATTTATCTCACTGGATAGAAGTCAATCCACACTGGATCAGACGTAGAATCAATCTGGCCCAGCATTCTGTTTCTAGCGATGGCTGGCCTCGTGGGATCCCACACACTGGGGATGAAGACATGAGCCTGCCAGGAATTATTCAGTGGCATATGACTTTCAGAGATGCAAGTATCATCATGGCCAGTCCATTCTTAGGTTTTAAACAGTGCCCGTTACAATTATAGCTCCAATTAACACCTAGGGCCAGTTACCATGCCAGTTCTTTTTAAAGAAACGCTTCTGCCTTCTGCTTTTCAAAAGAAACTAGGATTGTTGTTTGTTTTATGGTTACTTAAAAGGGTACGTCTGAATGCATTAGCCTTAGGTGCAACACAACCCTGAAGCCACTCTTCCATTTATTTATTATTTTATTATTTTTCTTTTATTTTCAAGCCACCTTTCTTCCGATCAGGGGACCCAAGGCGGCTCACAATCTTAACAAAAAAGAATTAAAAACATTGTAATTGAAACATTTAAAAAAAACAATTTAACGATACGTTAATTGAAACGTAATTGGATTATTAAAAGCGAGTAAACATTAAAAACCAGGCTGCTGTTCCAGAACAAAAAGCATGCCTCTTGCTGTGGAATAACTTGAATTTTTTTTAAAAAA